AAAAAAAACATACGTAATTGCATGGGATGTGTGGTCGGGGTTTCAAACATTTTTCAACCACTTAATTAGACAGGAAAACAAATTGAAAGAGTTTGAAATATATTTCCCCAAATTGAACCAAATTACGTGCACGAACTCCTAATCGAAGGAGGTCGCGAAGGATCGTGAGAACTCACTTCAACGAAGATTTTTTTCGGTCTCTTTCGAGAGTGAGAATGAAAGAGAAATTTGAAGTGGGCTTTATAGGGACCGTGCAACGAAGATTTTTATTATAGGACGAGAAACTATTGTATGGTGTCGCGTAATGCTGATGAAAGTTTTACATAATTAGATGTATGAGAGAGAAATTACCGTGTTTTGAGTCTACATCTAATAATTATTAAGAATTAAACACACAGTCATATTGTGATGTTCATATTGAATATCACGAGATATTTGTTATATAATTGATTGAAAGAGAAAGGTAGGTGATGTTTTGTTTTCGATTCAATTTTCGCCCGGAAGAAAATTGGAGCCTTGAAAAATTGAAATTGAAATGGATTGATTTTGACACGAGAATATACTAAGACATGACGAAGCATTAGAAATTTTAATCACCTCATATCATCATAATGAGAAGTTTCGTAGAAGAAAACTCCATTTTCCGTATCTAAAAGATCTTGTTTACGTCATTATTCTGAAAATTTAAAACAAATTAATCCAATAAAAATGGCTTTTTTTTTGCTTAATTTAAAAAAAAATGGACCTAAGTTAGGAAAAATTTAAGAGGTCCACAAAGAAAAACCTTCCCCTCTGTGTGATTTTGGGCATCTATTGGGTTCACATCACAAAAGTAGAGAAAAAGATGGAAGCAAGAGTAGGTTTACCCAGTCAAGTCATTATATTTGATGGTTGTTGGAAATAATAATTAGTGTTTTATTTACTGAACTATGTTTAAATTGATGTGATATTAATTTATCTAACTGCCACCAATTAAATTATGCGAATATGACATCATCCATATCTATAAATCATGCGTTATTTTAGTCAATAAAATGTATTTTTAGCCTATTCATCACTTTCATTAAATTGGATGCATCAATTTAAACATATTTGTACGGTATAGAATATTCTAATATTTTTGTTTTAATTTCTTAATTCTCTTATTATAATTAAAATAAATAAATAAATAAAAGTGTACTATATAGAACTTTCTGGAATTCATGTTTTGATTTTAACTTCTCGTTTATTATGAACAAATAGTCAATAGATTAGAATTAAATAAAAGTAAATGTCGATATCTATATTTAAATGTCTGAAATTGTAGCTAGAAACAATAAAATCGAAACTTTTTAAATAAATCATAATTTGATTGGATGATTACAAAATAAACTTTTATTCTAATTAATTTCTTGATTTGCTTGGACGTCCAACAAAACACCATTAATTTAGTTATTAAATAAATTTAATGTATATTAATAATTTCATTTAATCTCTGATTCCTACCAGAAATTAGATAATCCAACTCAAATTTCAATAGCCTGTATTTTGTCTTTTATGAATTAAAAAAAATTGCAAAATAAAATATAAAAATTAATTAATCAAATAGATAATTCGCGTGGAAACGTACACGTGTAGGTGATGCTGCTTAAATAAATGAGAACACCTTCACAAAATTGCCTAATCATCCTTATCATGTACGAATTTTTGTGCAACCGAAATTTCCCGTTCCCTTGTGCAAGAAATGTACGGCTGCCACCAATTGACAATTTTGACCCTCTCACCCCCGCGGCTATTTTATTTTATTTTAAAAAAATCTAATTCCCGATATTAATACATCATATTAAATTTATTTTTTCAATTAAAAAGTTTGAAATTTCAGTTATTTTATAATATTACTCCAAATATATGCTCAAATGTATAATTAAAATTATACCAAAAAAAAAAAAAAGTCTCAAAGATAGTGAAATATTCCATTAAATTTTAAGAAAATTGCAAGTTGTCACATGGTCGTTTTTTTTAAATAAATGTATCGAATTTATATATATAATAATATATGAATAAATTTATACGAAAAAAAACAATATTTTTTTTTGTCTTTTAATAATTTGTCCCTATTATAACGTATCAAATCTAAATCAGGAACATATAACCATATTCGCTTATAAAAGTTATTTTATACGGATAGAAGAACTATATAATATCTAATTACGTCAAATAATATAAATAATTTGATGTATATAATTTTATTGTATAGTTGCCAATAAATCATGAGATTTAAAAAAATAAAAGAATACACCACTTGGATATTAAACGAAAATAAAATTTAAATCATACCTTTAATTACGTCTTATGACTGATTTTATTAATCAAAACATTATTAATTATACAAAAATTCAAACTAAAAAATAAAAATTTAATTTTGCATTAAGATATAAAACTAACCTAATGTGAATGTCAATGTCAACAAATCTACAAAATTCAATGTTTTTTTATATATTTTTTTTAACGAAACCCCATAAATTTAGCCTAATTATTCTTAGTCAATAAGTGCCTACGCATATTGTCCAATTTCATTCTTTATTTTTTAACTTTTTTTTTTATATGAAAAAGTCAATTGTATTTGTATTATTAAAATTTTAAAATCATTAATTACCAAAAACAAGATACAATACGTTAATTATTTATTTATTTGAAGAGTCATTGAATCTTAAAGTCACAAAATTAATTATTAAATTTTTAAAGCACCGAACTTTATATATATTATATATATAAACAAAAGGAAAGTAAATTTTATATGAGATTCAATATTGGACCATTAATGGGTTAAGAGATTAAAAACTTTTGACTTTTTATTTTAAGCATATAAATTTCCAAATTAGATTTTGAAAAAAAAAAAAAAAAGCTTAATTTTTAAAATTTGATTAAAATTTAAAATATTTACTTTAAAAAACTACAATAACAAGAAAAAAAATAAAAAAAATTAACATCGTTCTCTTTTAAAAGTTGACAAATTAAAATATATATTATTTTATTTATTTTATGGTGCCACATGAATTATTTTAATAATGTAATGACCGTACATTTGGGAGGTTTTCGTCCACCAACATTTCCAATAAATTTGGTTGAAAATTTTCGACGGAAGTGTTATTGACTTTTGAAATAACGTTCAACTTCAACAATTATCAATTATTGACCAATACCAACTTGTTTTTTTTTTTTTTTTTTTTTTTTTT